GGGCCGGTCCCGGGCCGGTCCCACCCCCTGTGCCGGGGCCGCCCCCGCTCCACGTCACCGCCGCTCCCCGATAAAAGGGCGGCGGCGGGCTCGGCCCGCCCGCAGCGGGCGCCATGTTCTCCCTCCAGCCCAGGGCCGTGCTCGGCTTCAACCTCTACTGCGGGGGCTCGCCGGCCTTGGCCCCCGCGGCGCCGCCGCCGCCGCGCCCGGAGCCCTCGGCAGGAGCCGCTTCAGGAGCCGCCTCAGGAACCGCCGCCCCGGCCGGAGCCGCCTCAGGAGCCGCCGCCGCCGCCTCAGCCGAGCGAGCCCCCCCCGCTGCCGCCGCCTGCCCCCCCCGCTCGCTGATTGGCTGCGGCGCCGCGCCGCGCGCGCTGATTGGCTGCGGCGCGGCTCTTTGGCGCCCCGAGCAGGAGCTGGACGGCTGCGACCCCGAGGCCGAGAAGGGCCCTCCCGAAGAGGAGGAAGGGGGCAATTCCCTGCCCGGAACCCCCCCGGGACCCCCCGACCCGCTCCGGCAGGACACGCTGGAGCTCATCGGCCGCTACCTGCGGGAGGCGGCGGGGGAGGCCTCGCCGGCCGGCGGCAAAAAGCTGTTTCCCGGGCTGCTGGGTGGGCCCGGCCGGCCCGGATCGGCGGGGGAGGCCGTGATGGAGAAGGCGCTGGAGACGCTGCGGAGGGTCGGGGATGGGGTCATGAGGAAGCACGAACTCGCCTTTCAAGGTGGGTGACGGGGCCACGGCGGCCCCGAGCCTCCACCCGGCGGGGCGGGAGGGGATGGAGGGAGGGTCCGGGGGACGAGCCACGGACCCCGGTGCCGGTACGGGGGGGGATTTGGGGGGCTCTCCCCTGTGAGAGGGGGCACAGGGAGGGGTGGTCCCGGGGTCGGGAGTCCACCCCCGGAGCCCCTCGGGGTCGGGGATCCATCCCCCCGAGCTTCTTGGGGTCGGGGGTCCACCCTTGGGGTTGAGGGTCCGCCTTCGGGGTCGGGGATCCATCCCCGAAGCCCCCCCGGTGTCGGGGGAGCTCCCCGGGGTTGGGGGTCCACCCTTGGGATCAGGGGTCTCCCCCGTGGTTGGGGGAGCCCCTCGAGGTTGGGGATCCCCCCCCGGAACCCCTGTGGTTGGGGGAACCCCCCGCAGTCGGGGGTCCACCCTTGGGGTCAGGGCTCTCCCCCGTGGTTGGGGGAGCCCCTTGGGGTCGGGGATCCACCCCCCGGAGCCTCTTGGGGTGGGGGATCCACCCTTGGGGTCGGGGGTTTCCCTCCGTGGTTCGGGGAGCCCCTTGAAGTCAGGGATCCACCCCTGGAGTCCCCCGGGTCGGGGGTCCACCCTTGGGGTTGAGGGTCCACCTTTGGGATCGGGGGTCCATCCCCGAAGCCCCCCCGATGTCGGGGGATCTCCCCGGGGTTGGGGGTCCACCCTTGGGGTCGGGGGTTCCCCCCGCTGTATGGGGGAGCCCCTTGGGGGCACCTTTGGAGCCGGGCGGGGTAATTCCCGGGATGTTGAGCCCCGGGTTTGGAATGAAGGGTTAAATAAAAGGCAACCGAGAGGAGATTAAAAAAAATGAAACCGAACTTTGCCCGGCTGGGAGGAGGAGGAGGAGGAGGAAAAGCCGCCGGGGGCCTGTGCGGGGCAGATAATCTGGTTACAGATTAGCCCTCGGGTCCAGAATCCAGGAATTCCTTAGTTCGGGAGTTTGGAATCTTCCCACCCCCGGTTTAGGGTTTTATTTGGGGGTTGGAAAATTCTGGGTGATGCGCTCAGGGGGTCACAGAGTCATGGCATGGGTTGGGTGGGAAGGGACCTTAAAGTCACCCAGTGCCACCCCCTGCCCTGGGCAGGGACCCCTTCCCGCATCCCAGGCTGCTCCAAGCCCAGCCTGGGACACTCCCGGAGATCCAGGGGCAGCCGCAGCTTCCCTGGAAAACTGATTTCCATGGATTGAACCCCCGGTGCCCGTATCCTGGGGGCGAACTGGGAGCGAGACGGGACCCCCCGGGCCCGGTTTTTGGGGGTCTTGGGCCGAGCTTTGGGGGGCTGCGCTCCCTCCTGTGCCCAAAAAACGGGGAGGAAGGACCTAAAAAAAACGCATCCAAAGCTCCACTTCCAGTGGGACAGTTCCCAATTCCCGGACGTGCCTGTGGAATGACTCGGGGGAGGAAGGAATGTCCGGGAATGTGACGTTCTGGTGCTTTCCTGAGCAGGAGGAGGAGGAGGAGGAGGAGGAGGAGCTGCTCTGGGGAGGTTTCCTGCGAGTTTGAGCAATAACAAGCGGCGCCTTTCGGTTTCGCAAGGGCTCGGGGCTCGTCCTGGGAGGGCCCTGCCGGGAATTGGGCTCTGCCCGCCCCTAAACCCGGTTTAACGAGCTAAACCCGCCCCTAAACCCGGCTGAACGAGCGGGGAGAGGCGCCGGGTGGGCGGCCTTGGGTCCTGTCCCAGGGGTTGGGCTCAGCCCAGGGTCAGATCTGACACAGAAAACCTTGAGACAGGGAGTGTGAC